TCAGCCTTGATTAGTACTTGGATGAGAGACCACCAGGGAAGCTCAGGGTTGCTACGCAGAGGCATGCAACAGCAAACGACCTCTGTTTGTCTCTTGCTGACTTTGCTGGCCTAGGCTAGCCCAGTCATGTCAGAGCTTGGAGGCTAAGCAGGGTCAGCCCTGGTTAGTACTCGGATGGGAGACCACCGAGGAAACCGAGGGTTGCTACGCAGAGGCAGGCAAGGGCAAACCACCTCTGCTCGTCTCTTGCCAACTTTGCTGGCCTAGGCTAGCCCAGTAACGTCAGAGCTTGGAGGCTAAGCAGGGTCAGCGTTGATTAGTACTTGGATGGGAGACCACCAGGGAAGCTCAGGGTTGCTACGCAGAGGCATGCAACAGCAAACGACCTCTGTTTGTCTCTTGCTGACTTTGCTGGCCTAGGCTAGCCCAGTAACATCAGAGCTTGGAGGTTAAGCAGGGTCAGCCTTGATTAGTACTCGGATGGGAGACCACCAGGGAAGCTCAGGGTTGCTAAGCAGAGGCAGGCAATGGCAAATTACCTCTGTTACTCTCTTGCCGACTTTGCTGGCCCAGTCTAGCCCAGTCACATCAGATCTCGGAAGCTGAGCAGAGTCAGCCCTGGTTAGTACTCGGATGGGAGACCGCCGAGGAAGTCAAGGGTTGCTACGCAGAGGCAGGCAAGGGCAAACCCACCTCTGCTCATCTCTTACCTTGAAAACCCTACAGGGCCACCATAAGTCAGCTGCAACCTGAGGATACTTTCCATCACCCGTTTTAGAGCTCTGACCTGGATGGCCCCTAAACCTGGATCATCAGATCTCAGAAGCTAGGCAGGGTCGGCCCTGGTTAGTACATGGGTGGGAGACCACCGAGGAAGCCCAGGGTTGCTACGCAGAGGCAGGCCATGGCCAACCACTTCTGTTCTTCTCTTGCCTTGATAACCCTATGGTGTTCCTTAAGTTGTCTGTGACCTGACGGCACTTTTCACACCAAGCATTGGCATGCCTCTTTGGTCAAGACACCAGCCTTATTGCAGGGGCCAGCCCAGCAGTGTTCCCTCTAAGCTCAGTAAATGTGAGCTAGTTCACAGTATCTTAGCCTCCGTCTCACACTTTTTTATCTTAGCTCAGGACGGACGGCTCCAGAGCAAACTCATTTATGCAGCAGCCAAATGGCTCGCTCACCACGTACTTACCCACTACACCAAACTGGCTGTCTTATACCGCACCCTTCACTACCAAAGGAGTCTCAGAGCACCTGCCAAACTCCTTTTCCTTCCCCTCCCCACAACAGACACCCTGTGAGGGAGGTGGGGCTGAGAGAGCTCAGACAGAAATGGCTCTTTTTCAAGAACAGCTCTTATCAGAACTATGGCTTGGCCCAAGGTCATCCAGCCAGGTGCAAGTGGAGGAGTGGGGGAATCAAACCCGGCTCTCCCAGATTAGCGTCTGCTTGCTTAATCACCACACCAAACTGTAGTGTTCTGCAATACACCCAGTCAGGTGGTTTTCACACAAGCTCCTTAGTCTTAGAATCATAGGATTGTAGAGATGGAAGGGACCTCCAGGGTCATCTAATCCACCCCCCTGCCCAATGCAGAGAATTCACAAATACCTCCCCCCCACACCCCCAGTGACCCCTGCTCTATGCCCAGAAGAGGGGGGGGGGAAACACCTCCAGGGTCCCTGGCCAAACGGGCCTGGAGAAAAATGGCTTCCTGACCCCAAAGTGGCAATTGGCATTTCCCTGGGCTTGTAAGAGAGGGCCGCGAGAACTAAGCAGTGAGGCCACCCTCCCTTCTCGTGATTTGCCCAAGTTCACACAATCAGCATTGCTGTCCGGTGGCCATCGAGCCTCTGTTTGAAAACCTCCCAAGAAGGAGAGCCCGCCACCACCTCCCGAGGAAGCCTGTCCCACTGAGGAACCACTGAGGAGTCTTGTATGTGATTCAGCCTTTGCGGGTGTTGCCTGTAAGAATGGCTCCCTCCCTCCCCCTCCCTTTCTGCTGACCTTTCCGTTGCAGCTCCCTTTGCAAGAGGTGTTTATGCAGCTGCTTTCTTCAAAACATTTCATGTTAACCTCTTCCCCACCTCCCCCAAGGATGTGGCGCCAGGCAGAGGCTCTGCCCTGCTGGCAGGCTAGAGAACGAGGCCAGCAGGAGTAATGGAATACTCACCATAATTCAGACAGGTGATGCGAGGTTCCCAAGGGCAGAGCTCGACCCTTCCAGTGAGGGGTCAGGAGCCAGAGGTAAATCCTTGTCCTCCGGTCTGCAAAATTTATCATGGTTGCTCTCTTGAAGTATGGTGTCCAGTCATGCCGGCCACATGACCACGGAAACGTCTTCGGACAGCCTTTTCCACCTGCTGGGCCGTTGGGGTGCCCCTCCCCAGGAGGTAAGTGACTGAAGATGCAAGAGGATATTATGGTGAAAATAAAAAGACACGTCTCTTTTCATTAGCGCCACGGCGTTTCAAACCCATCTCACTGTTTTTATTTTTCTGTGCTTCTTCCATTTCTCTTTTTTCCCCCCGCTTCCATTTATTGCACGCAGGCACCTGGAATTATTTCGGATGGGGAGATGAGCAGAGTAGGTAACACCTCAGAGATCCCTCGCTGGTTGTGTGGCTCCAAGGGGGCTCCCCCATGCTCCAGTCTGAGGATAACGGGGGGATTCATGCGTGGAGGACCGTGTGGTGGACCGTTCAGTATTTTACTGCCGTGTGTGTGCGTGTCTCTTCCTTGCTGCATGAAGGTCTGCTGCTTCCTATGAAGTAGCAAATCAATAAAGTGTCCCCGAGACAGTCATTTTCTCTTATGTGATGCCCTTTTGAGAGCCTGTGGGGTTAGACGGGTTGAACTAGGATTTGGGAGGTCTGGGCTTAGAACTCCCCTCTGTCACTATGCTCCTTGGGTGATTTAGTTGTTGTAGAATTTCTGGGCTGTATGGCCGTGGTCTTGGCATTGTAGGACCTGACCTTTCGCCAGCAGCTGTGACTGGCCAGCTGTGACTGGCCTTTGACAACATACTTCTCAGGGATGTTCCAGGCCGATCCTGCATTGAGCAGGGGGTTGGACTAGATGGCCTATAGGACCCAACTCTGTGATTCTATGGCTCTGTGATAATCTATTACCTAACTGTCTTTTCAACTGGACCTTCTGCATGTCAAGCAGGCGGAGGTCTTTCAGATCGTCTGATGCAGAAGCCTTTCACATCACCTGAGCCTTTTTCATTTTAACTGGAGATGCCAGGGATTGAACCTGGGACCACTGAGT